AATGAAGCAGCTGTTTAGTTTTTTCATTGTTTTAATAAAAAATTATGAAAAATAAGAAGCTTCTGGTGCTTTAATTTACTTCTTTTCATTATTCTGTTTGAAAAAATTGTCTAATTGTCAGTTCTTTCTGCTAATTATTAATCTCAGATTAAGGTTCAAACTCTTAAATTCAGCCCAATAAAGATATATATCTTATATAACTGAGATTTGTGGCCTTTATTCTTTAAGTTTTAAGGCCCATTAAAGTCTCTCAGTGGCTGATTTTTATGCTAGTTTTAAGAATAGTTTTTGCTCAATACAAGAAAATCTGATTATATTTAAGAATATCTGTCTTGTTTCCATCAGATAAGATAAGAATTTAGTCTTTTTTGCATCTTTGAAATGTTTCCAGAGATGAATGAGTCGAGCTGAGAAGAAGTTCAGAAGAACAGAGAGAGCAGATAAATAAAATAATAATAATCTAATCCTACTGTTTAAATACCCAAAGATATGTAAAATAACGTGAGTAAATGTTCTTCTGTTGGTCTAATATTGAATTCTGAGTATTGAAGATAACGTTTCTTTGGTATCTTTGGTGATCATTGATGCAGATTATTATTGGATTCCCTCTGTGAATGTTGGTGATGCTTTGCCTCTTTTTAGTCATCCTCAACATTTATTGTGTACAGAACAATTAAATACACAATAATATACGATTTGTAGGTATTCTTTGTCAGCTAACAGTCATATTAGGACAGAAATGTTGAGTTTGAGTCAACAGCTTTTAGAAACTGACAGATACTAGTTTGCTTATGTTGGTCAATTTGTATAATTAGCATGAATAATCACATATACAGACAATATTTCGACAGTATAGGAGTGGTTTTGGGGATTATTTTGGACATTTTCAAAGTAAAACTGTCATTAGTGTGACTGTCTTTGCAGCTGCAGTTGTCCATTAAATCAACTCACAATTAATCGAAATCAGCCCAACAGAAGTTGAAATGTGGCAACTTTCAGGTTAAATGTTATTCTTTACAATCCTGTAATACTTTCTTTATAGATGATGCCACACTCTACATTTCTAACACTTAAACTTTGGGCTACTCAACATTTTCCAGGTTCACGTTGCTGGCAAGTCAACTATATATTTGAACAGAACACGACCCCGGGCCCCCTTAGATTTGGGCCCCAAATGTTCACGACATCTGGCTCCGCCCCGTTTTACTGCTGTTAGCAAGTTAGCTTACCCGTACTTCCTCGGATGCTCAGGACTGTTTACAGACGAAACTAAACGTGGGAAGGGTTTTTAGAGCTTTGACGGTGAGCTGTCCTTCTTGCTGTTGGACCAGTTATATTAGCTGCCTGAAATACCAAATTATTACACACTGCTGCTTTAATCAGGCTCAGTTTTGGATTTGACCAATTTTCAGGTCAATCCTCCTTCTAGGAATAAATAAAAAGGGGCAATAAGAGATTAAACTTTAATCCCTCCTTACCCTCGTGGAAGGCCCTGTGGAGGAAGGAGTCATCAAAGAGCAGACAGCTGCCCTCAGACCAGCACTGCGGCTCCCCACCGACCACCAGCTCACAGGAAGGGGGAACTCTGAGACCTGTCAGAGACAAACACAAGTGTGATCACACATCCTGGACTGTCCTGTATTACTACAGCACGCTCCTGCCCACACAACCACAAAACATCCCTATTTATAGCTGCTCACAGAGCTCAGGTGCAGAGAAGAACATGAAAATTAAGCCCCTAAATTTGAGCCGCCGTGACCCCGGAGGACACAGCTGATGCTCCTCCTCTCACATGGTTGATCTCTTACCCAGGTGGCAGCGCAGCCTCACGTTGGTCGGCCCGTAGTGCTCGGTGATCAGAGCTCCGGGCGTCAGCACGGAGAAGCAGGCGTTCCCGAACACGTTGTTGGCGATGAAAGTGCGCAGCTGGCCCAGCACCCTCCATGCCCGTGGGCATCTCCTGACATTCAGAACAAGCGGGGTGCCTTGGTTGACCAGGTAGTAGGTCCACCACTGCCCGCGGGGTGTGCTGTTGGCCTTCCAGCCCGGTGGCAGGGAGGAGCCGCTGCGGGCCGGAGGCTGGTGGTAGATGCTCTCAAACTCAGCCAGGAGGGCGGGGAAGCTCTGCTCCAGCAGCTCCACGTCGTGCCTCTGGACTTCCCTTGAGAAGAACGGCGCCGACGGGAGATCTGGGAGGAAGAAGACCTCCGGCCGCTGGATGGTGGGTCGACTGTTGAGGTATCTTCCTTGATCACGGACCCCTTTGTGCACCCGACCCATACCTGACCAGGTGTAGCGCTTGGCGTAATCCTGCAGGCTGTGGTAGAGCCTCTGGTTCAGACTCTCCCCGGCGCTGGTGCAACGGAAGCACTCGGCCGACTGGCAGAAGGCGAATCCGTTCTGCTCTTCCAGCATCGACCCGTGCTTCCCTTTCCCCCTCCCGCGGCAGTCCGAACTCATGAAGCCCCCCACCACCCCTCCGATGCGGCCAGGCCCAGCCAGATACCTCCCGCGCAGGGGGCTGGTGCCGTGCTCCCGGCCCACCCTGTAACAATACCACATGAAGAGCAGCAGCACACACATGGCTATGGCGAAAGCACAGATCTCGCACTCCCTCACAGACTGCATCCCCCCCGCCACCATCTCCCTCACGTTCTCCAGCGACCACTCCATCTCCGGACTGCTGAATCTGACGGAGGAAAAAAAAAGTGCTGATGGGGTTAACACGTCGTTCCTGGATGGTGATTGAAAGGGGCTGTTAATGAGCTCTTATCGCCGCCCCGAATGTAAACAGTCTGCTGATTCGATCTGACACACTCCTCGCTCTTCGGTGCTAACATTTCAGCACTCTGCGCCGAGGGAAGGCTTCTCCTTGCATGATGTCTGAGCTGTGCCGTAGTGTTATTTGTTGCCTCTCTCTCTCTCTCTCTCTCTCTCTCCCTCAGACAAATGCAGACAGACACCGCGCCTTAGGGTGATCTGCTCCCTGGAAAACAAAAGGCAGAAGGAGAGAGACAGAAGGGGTGAGGAGGATAGAGAGAGAGAGAGAGGAGAGAGGAGGATACTGGAGCTGACATTTGCTGCGATTAATATCCTGTTTGCTAAATTCCCATCCTGTGTGCACCTCATGAAGGAAAAAACACCTGCTGGAAACTCACCCACACACACCCTGCACACACCCCTTGTACTGCACTGTGTGAAACCATGAGTCACTGCTGCATTTAACACGAATCCGCAATAAAACACCAGAAAACGCACGAAAAAGAGAGCGAATTACGAGAACTTAAAAACAGTGTTTACACCCAGATTTATAACTGAGATTCAGCAGGAGATAAATGGATCCTCAGGGTGGGAGGGGGGAGGTTGAGGATGGGGAGGGGGGGTTGTAGTCTTTAAAGAAATGGATTACATGATTATATAATGATAATGGACCAGCAGCCAGGAGTGCAATGCGTCAACTGTGATCAGAAGTGCTCCAAACCAAAAATGGTAGGGTAATCCTGCTCCAGTAGACCCTCCCCTACATCCTGTCTGACAGCACCAAGACGCCCCCACATTAACACCCCCCCACCCCCCAACCCCTCTAACACACACTGACCATTAAACACACAGCTTTGATCCTCCAAAATAAAACCTGTGCTGGAACAAAGCACTGCCCGCATATGAAGGTGGACGTTGGTTCCGTACCTACTCAGCATTCATGGCCGGTGGAGCCGAGGGGCGCACAGGTGTTTCTCCAGGCGAAAGCTGCGCACCACTGCAGTGCACACGGAGGCTGGACGCATATCAGGCGCGCACATTATAGGAAAATATCTCCAAAATGCTCCAAAATAAAAGTCCTAAGTGGAGCCGGCAGAGGTCACATACTGGAGCCGAACCATGAGGAGGCTATCCCGGGGGATGGACAGCAGCGTCTGACGGTGGGCTTCTTCTTTCTGGTGGTATTGTAAATAACTGGAGCTCCACCAGGGAGGACACCCAGCGGCAAGAGACCGCAGGAACACACGGGACAGCGTTTCCGGGCGGAGCCTTCAGAATAAGAGCAGACATAACTCCTCCCATCCACAGATAATAAAATCATCTAAAGTCTCAACAGATTCACATTTAACTCTCATTTAGAGTTTACAATTAACATTATTTAATTTGATCTGTTATAGTCACATTTTAGACTCAGTGATTAAATGTCTAAAGATTTGGAAATAAAACAATTTAATGATTTATTTAGTTTTATGAACATATGAGTTTCTGGGGGCATTTTGAGAGTCATCACAAACCAGAAATAAATTATAATGACAATAAAACCAAGAATACATTATAGTTGATGATAAGATTAATCAATAAGGTACTTCATTGTAAATAATAATAAATATATAAATATATGTGTCATTGAATCATAAGCTGTTGAAAGATTCCCCCTGTTCAAACTGTAGAGTTTAGCTGCGACTAAAACAAAGTTTCTTCCATTAAAACAGTGAATGATGAAGGATATATTTTTTCCAGCTTCAGGTGTATATATATATATATATATATATATACCAATCTTACTGACAAGACTAATAAGACTTCCAGTGCTCCACCAGTCTCAAAACATATGAGTGAGATTACAAGGAGCATTTGCTATAGGTTTGCTATAGATTCATAGATTTGCTATAGATTTATAGGTTTGCTATAGATTTATAGATTTTCTATAGATTTATAGGTTTGCTATAGATTTATAGGATTGCTATAGATTTGCTATAGATTTATAGGTTTGCTATAGATTTATTTTCAGTGCTTTAAAATGTGTTATTCATGTTTTTGAGTTCTGAGCTTTACAAATATTGATATATCTGATTGTTTTTGATTAAATCCGTATGAAAATAGTTGCAGCACTAAAAGAGCCTTTTATTTTGAAGTTGTATGTCCGGTATTGGTGTGGTACCCTGTGACTTCACTGATCTGAGAGCCTCCCTCTTCCGTATGTCTCTCATGGCTCGCCCATCGACCACTGCTTGATATCGCTGCACACAGCATATCCCGAGGTGCACTGCGGCTCGCCCGGACTGCACTCACAGCAGTTTGATGCTGAACGTTTGTGACACAATATGACAACAACTTTTCCTAGAAAGTCTGCAGTTTGGCCCTCGTGGCATCGATTACTAATCGATCAGTACAGAAACAGAATATTGTCTCATTAACCCCAAAGAGAAGGAAGAAAGTCATAACATTTGTTCTGGTTAGTTTAAAGTCTTGAAATTTGGAACCAACATACTTCATGTTAATATTTAACAGTATAACTTTGACATTTTTCAACATGAAAAATCACATTTTTATCAACGGTCAAAGCCAAAGATTTTTCCAAAATTAGGAAACAAGGTAAAAATGTGTTTAATTATTTAAACACATTTTAATTATTATATGTTCAAATGAAATATTCTTCAGTGCTCCTATTGGTTTATGGATTTATTTATTATTGTTTTATGCATCATATGGAAGCTCATTTCCGCCAATGTGAGGGGGAAAAGAAGGATTCTTATTATAATGAGAAACTTTCTCTTTATTTTTAATTAGTATCTCCAAAAAATTACTTTGTGGTACTGAGTCTATATTTTGAGAACTTACTGGATCTTTTTTACCGTTACATTGGCAGAAATGAGCTTCCATAGGGCTGTCAGTTGTGTGCAACTTTTATTAATACGTTGTCTTTGCGCTCCAGGTGACACCAGCGTATATGCGAAACACCAACACACCTTTTTCCGTACTTTGTGGTTGGCTCTAACATAATGGATACATAAAGTAGCTGCACTGATGGTTGTGGGTGTGAAATCATTAAAAACGGGGGCTCAGCGGTAGAGGGCGCCATCGCCGTGCTGTGCACCTCCGTCGTGAGTATGGGGGGGTCCATATTCACAGTGATG